TATAAGATCTATTAAAAAAGGCGCAACGCACCAACGTGCAAAAGTCAATGTTGTCGCTATAAGTGAAGCAACAATGGTGTACATGACCTGTAATAAATACTTGTAAGTGACATTATCGTCACAAAATTAATGTTATTGCTGACTTTGTAAAATAAGTTTCCATAGGTGAAATAAAAAATAATCGAAAATAATTTTGGGACGGAGGGGGGGAGCAATATGTATTAAGACATGATACATATTGCTCCCCCCCTCCGTCCCATAATTATTTTCGATTATTTTTTATTTTACGTATTGAAACTTATTTTATAAATTCACCAATGGCATTAATTTAGTTATGATATCGTCACTTACAAGTATTTAATACAGGTCGTGTAGACCATTGTTGCTTGATTTATAGCTAAAACGTTGATTTGTGTCTGTTGGTTGCCTCGCGCCTTTTTTAATAGATCTCATATCTTAGATGCCTATCGTTTCAGAAAAAATCCCAGAAGACCTAACATATTTTACCATACCGTGCGCCTATCAATTCAGCAATTCAATAGTAAACTTTTTCTTGAAAAAATAAATCTCTCAGATTTGTTGAATTTTCTTGCAGAAATTGCCTGCTCCCCCCCCTCCGTCCCATTTTCACGATCACCGGGTGTGAGAATCAACTTGTCATCGTTAACATTCACCAAGAGATAAACTTCCATTGGATATCACACTTTCTCCATTGTTTCATAGTTTGTTAGTTATGTTTCTAGGCCAAAGCATCTGTGTTGATGAACAGTATGTAGCTCTCAAACATTGCCGAATATGGGCCTCTCCCTACAACATAAATAAAAGATGGCTATGTTAAGAAAGTATATCAAAATGAAGACAAAGAACATATTTTCTGGTTTTGCCGCTGTTAACCCATGACACATGCATGAAAGTTCCACCTGCTTTAGCAATCCTAAGGGCTGAATGCTATGTTGGATGGTATTATATTATAAATTGTTTGCTCAAATAAACAGATTTACATTCAAATGTAGATGTAAATGATGTTTTATAAAGAATTTCCATCATTTCTTTGGACTCACCAACAGGAGCAAAATTTGAAAATCCTCATCTGTTATCGGTTTATTTGGGAAAACAAGAGTATATTGTAAAGAATATATTGTGAAAAGCAAATTACCTTAATCTCTATACTTGATGCTGAATAGTTGGCCATTCTCATCTCCTACAAGGAGCTCACCATCATTGCTGATTGCAACTGCATTTGGGAAGTATACATCATCAGCATATGTCAGTATATTCCTCAGGAATCTACCATCAGGTGATAAGAGGACAACCCTGTGGTTGTTGTAGTCTGCTACGAATATATAATCTTCTCTGTCTCTGCAAACACCACATGGAAAACTGAGCTGTCCATCAGCAGAGCCTTGGGTTCCATATGTGAATATTTCTGTACCTTCTCTGGTTATCCCTTTTACGCAATGTCCATTTACATCGCTTATTATGTAGACTTCTTTACTATTACTGGTGAGATAAAAAGGTTTATTGAATGTGCATCTAAGAGCCTCAGAGTCTCCAGTAGATTGATCAACAATGTACACTTTTCTGGTATTGCCATCTGTCACCAGTAGCTCTCCTGCAGGGCTCATTGTGAGACCCAACAACTGTGATAACCCTCTGCAAACTATATCATGTTGATGAGTACCATTAGTGTTGTACAGGGTGTCAAAAAACAACGGCACCCCCCTCTACAGCAAAATGTACTTAATGTTACATAGTGTGTCATATCCCATTTTAAAGACAATTTAATTTTGGAGTTAATTGAGGAATTTCAGCTTTGTACGATATAATTTTACAGATTTATAGCCGATTGTTAGTAGGTGGTACGGCCACCACTTGCTGCTCGAAAAGCAGCCAATCTGGATGATTATGATTTCAATGAAGATTCGAAGAAAGGTTTAGCATTGCGTAATCCTTTAAGCATTTTCCGCATATTCTTCAGAAATACATCCTTACTGTGTCCATTTTCAAGAGGCCTCCTATCCATCAGTTCTCCTACCCTGTCTTTCACAATTGAACATATATGCTCAGGGTAGTTGAGATCTGGGCTATTTCCTACATATTAATAATTTCCAAGATTTGACCTTAAACCAGGAACAAAGTAGCAAACAAAGTACTGAAGTAGCAAACTTCGAAACAATGTAACTTTTTTAGTTTAAAGTTTTATCAAATGAAATTTGATGAGTAACTCCAGAATTACATTATCTTTCAAATGAGATATGACACGCCATGTAACATTAAGGAGTTTTTGCTGTGGAGGGGGGTGTCGTTGTTTTTTGACACCCTGTAGATGCTTATTTTGTTAGTAGACTCATCGGTCAAAGCCAGTTTGCCATCATTTGTTAGGGTAACATGAATAAAGCTTTTTTGCAAGACCATTTTTAGCTTTTTGTTTCGATCATATATACATGTATTGGATCCACGTCCTGCTGTTGCTACATAATCACCTTCTGGAGTAACTACAATATCTAAAAGACTTCTTGGATGTAGTGGAGTGCTTGTTATATTTGGCTCACACAGTGGTATGACAGCAGTATCTTTCTCGTCTTCTTCATATAGCTCTGTAGACAATATTCCAAATTCGACTCCATCATCGCTACATTTTCCCTCAATGAAGTTAAAGTGAATTTTTGTGTTGAATGTTGTCTTTGGTTCTTTGGACCATTCCTCAGATTTCCGGTTTACCTGCTCTATTAGGTCTGCTATTTCTACAGGATGGCCATGTTCTACCATGGTACAGTACCTGTTGACTTGGCATTCAATGATGCCCTTCTGAAGCTCCAGGTACCCAAGGTGAGACACGGCCTGTTTGACATTAGATTCCTTTTCCTTTGTCACCCGCTTTGTGTATGACTTGTACTTTTCGCGAAGAGCTTTGATCAGTATATTCATATCATTATATATTTCATCTGTTACATTTTCAGCATTCTGCTCCAGTTGACTTTTATAGGCCTGTGTATCTTGAATGGACTGTTCATAAATGTCCATGAGTGCTTTTCCCTGTGTTATAAGAGCACCAATAGGTTTCATGTTATTGGCAGCTATCTCTTTGATATCTTCACAGGAATGACCAGAGTGTTTGATTGGGTAGCATTGATGACAAATTGGCATCTTATCATCCTTACAGTACAGCTCAATAGGCTTGGTAGGGTGTAGTTGACAGTATATTGTACGCTCTTTTATTGACTGAAGTGCAGTTTCGAGATCTTGGACACTATCTCCTGTAAGATTGATTATTTTATGACCTTTCAACAGCGTATCATGTGTTTTACGGCACCTGACACACAATCTTTTGTTGCAGTCTAGACATCTTATTTTGGCTGGTGTGATTTCATGTGATTCGAGACAAGAATCACATTCTTGTTTTGGAGTCTGCTGACTGTCTTTAAAAGCATCAGCCAGGAATGAAATTGTTGGGCTCACCTTGAACTCCCATGCCCCTTCTTGTGGTATGGTACATACATGACGGCATTCTGGGCAGTTGAAAGATCCTCCTTGTAGTTGACCCTTCTGTATAAGGCTATCTAGGCATTTCAAGCAGTAAGCATGCATACATGGCAATGCCCTTGGTTCAGTCAGAATGTCCTGGCATATTCCACATGTCAGAGCAGCTTTATAACGATCATCTGTAAAGGACGCCATTTTTGGAATAAAACTGCAATCATCCAATAAAACTGTTGTGTACCCACAAAATATATATGTTCATGTATTAAAATCCTCAACTGATCTTTGTGATGTTCTGTATTATCTACAAGGTCATAAACTCTTCTAATATAATAACCTATTCTGTTAAAACATCCTCTGAAACACACGCATAAATAATATATATTTTATGTTAAACAGTTCTCAGAACTGGCTTTATATCAGATATCTATATTGTAAGCATTGTGAATGATACATGGTCACCCTAACTGTTTCCCAATAGAATTCCAAAGAAAAACCAATATAAATGTTTGCTAGTTGCTCATAGTAAGTAAATAATTAAGATAGTGGCAGGTGTTATTCATATATAAATAGTAAGTTAAACCATCAGCCAGCAGTTGGATTTGTGAATGCTACCTAGGAAAGTTCATATGAGATAAATATTGTTAACATCAATTGAAAATCACTTAAGGTTTTATATTTGATATGTTAGGGGTTGTGTCAAAACATTACAACTAAGTTTGGAAGAAATGCCAAGGGTTCATTTCTTTATGATTGCATTGTTCTTTAAGATTTTATTTTGAGGGTTACATAGATTTAGTTATAATTAATGAGAATAATTTTGGTGTTGATATTTGACCCTGCCTCTTTGTCAATTTTTAACAAAAAATAGTTATTGCTTGAGCAAGGTAGACTGACTAAATTGTTCACCTCTGGTATATTCATATAATGATGATGTGCTATATCTGGGATATACTTTAAAGATAAACTACTGATATAATATCAATATGATAACTATCATATGCAAGAGAGTTTTATTTATGTATCAATCTATGTATAGTTAAGAACAGCCCTGCCCCCTGCGAGAATGGGTTTCATACCTAAGATAAGACAATGTATTAAGTGAGACACAAATTCATTAGTTCTAAGAATTATTAGTACCAGTATATGCAATGTTAGCTCCCTAGGATTTTGTCTTAAATGGGTGCAAAATTTTTATTTTCACAATTCAGATCAAAACTGGTCAAAAAATACTCATTTTTATGATTTTTCTCATTTTCAAGTGGGTACAAATGGATTTTCAGGCGGGTGCAAGTCTGTTTTTAAAATCCCAGGTGGGTGCTGGGCCCACTTGCTTTAATGCTGGGGAGATCATTGATGTAAAAACAAATCATGTACCATGAATAGTATGACAAAGTAGACAAAACTAAATAGGTGTTCTACTTTCAGATTGACTGACCTTCATCAACAACCTTATCCAACAATTAAGGTATCTTTTCCATGATCATGAAATAATATCTTATTACCTTATCTATTTTCAGTGTTGTATTGATGACTTGGAAGAAATGTTACGTCTGCTAATAGAGTTTGGTGCCAATGTGAATGCAAAGGACAGTGAGCTCTGGACGCCATTACATGCAGCTGCTACATGCGGTCACACACATCTATGCAAATACCTTATAGACAAGTGAGTATTTGTTCTGGTTAAAAATATACCAGTCATTTTTATGTTACCACCAGATGTGTTGACACATTACCAGTAGTTTTTATGTTACCACCAGAAGTGTTGACACACTGTGATAGTCTCAAACTTTTTTGTGGACAGTGATCAGAGTTTAGAGGTTGGCGTTTGGCATCTGTAATAAATGACAGGTGGTGACATTTTGCATGTTAATGCATTGGTTTATTTATTTAAATAAGTCCACTTATCATCGATTGCTGTCAGTTTTTTTATACTTTATATGTATATAAGTTGCTTTATGTTATATGCCTAATTCATATTTATCCAGAGGCATTTCTCTACAATATAGGAATGACATTTTATTTTCTGCCATTTTCTTGTAATTGAGACTCTACATATCTATACACTTTATTCCTTACTGGGTCCACTCTTTTTTCAATTTAAACCATGACTATCATATTAAGATGGTGCAATTTTCACCCCATCAGTAGGATTGACGTGGATATAAGACGTAATTACATCTATGATGACACAGCATGGCAGTGTAAAGAGATGATGAGCTGATTTCATAAAGAGGTCTCAATTACTCATCCATTCCTCTAGTGTTACATTTGTCATTCCTGTTCAGTGCTACTTCTGTTTTATCATTTGAGTCAGATCTGCTGTCGGGATTGTGCAGCTTAATGTGAGATAGTGTTGGGTAGTTCGCAATTAAGTGTGGGATAGTGCAGATTGGTGTGAGACAAGTGTAGGATAGTGTTTGATAATGCAGTTTAGTATTGAATATTGATGAGAGTTTTTTGGCACACAGTTTAGAATCTATTTGTACCAAGAATCAGTTGAGATTTTTTGATTTATTGATCAGGTTTGGTGAAATGATAGTCAATATTGATTAGGGAGCATTTCATAAGTGCAATGTGAGATTATTGACTATTTATTTACTCTATTTTCTGATTAATTTCTGACCTTCTCCCTTCTCCCCGATAACTCCGAGAAATGATGATATACCACATGTATGTTGTTCAACATTTGTCCGATGTCATAACAATGGTTCACACTGTGCCTGGTTTTATATACATTTTGTTTGTGTTCTTGCAGAGGTGCAGAGTTGTTATCAGTGAATGCTGATGGGAACATGCCTTATGACATTACAGAAAAAGAAGACACGCTCAACTATATAGAAAATGAAATGGCTAAAAGAGGTGAGTAAACCAATAAACCATTTAACTTAGGGACACCTAAGCAATTGAGTCCCTCATGCATGATCTGTAAATGACTTGAGTGGCAATAAAATCTATTGATAGAACATGGGTTTACAGTTCAGTGATCTCCTCATCATTAGATCATATTGGTGATGCCCCATGAAATAACATGCCACCCTACTGGGAATCTGGAAATAACATGCCACCCTGTTGAAAATCTGGAAATAACATGCCACCCTGTTGAAAATCTGGAAATAACATGCCACCCTGTTGAAAATCTGGAAATAACATGCCACCCTGTTGAAAATCTGGAAATAACATGCCACTCTGTTGAAAATCTGGAAATAACATGCCACCCTGTTGAAAATCTGGAAATAACATGCCACCCTGTTGAAAATCTGGAAATAACATGCCACCCTGTTGAAAATCTGGAAATAACATGCCATCCTGTTGAAAATCTGGAAACAACATGCCATCCTGTTGAAAATTCAAAATAACATGCCACCCTATTGAAAATTTACAGATTACATGCCACCTTGTTGAAAATTCAATAATTACATGCCACCCTTTTGAAAATCTTGAAATAACATGCCACCCTTGACTTTCCATATTGGTTTAAAGTAACAAATATCTACTAGGGATATGTTTTAAAACAAAGCATTGTGCTTAAATCCTTAAGTAAATTCGAGATATATTTTAAAACAAAGCATTGTGCTTAAATCCTTAAGTAAATTTAAACCAAAAATTCAGGTAGTTCATTCAAATTTTTGACAGAAAACTGAGAAAAGGAAATGGCTGACAGTAATTTCATACATAGATGAACAATGGATTATAGTTCAGATAGGTTAAAACTGTCCCATACTTCATAATTCTAAATAAGTTTCATCTTTAATTTTCACTCTTTCTATTGATTAAGGCCTTCAATGATGGATTGTTTAATACATGAATTATGTCTAACTTTTGCTTCAAGATGCCTTGAAGTTCATCGATGAAATATGGCTCTGTAATGATGATCTACCAAATGTGTTTCATTTAAAATAATAACTACTCGTGTATATGGATAGACACACCTTATGTATGTTTGACCCATGTATAATGACATACCCATATACATTTCACTTACGAATAATGCCATGTCTTATATATATTTCAACAAGAATAATGACACACCCCATGTATAATTCACCCATATATAATGCAACGCTTCATGTACGTTTCAGGAGTTACTCAGGAGTTGATTGATGAGACGAGGCTCGCAACAGAAAAGCAGATGCTTGAAGACTTACAATTTCTAGCCAATAATAAGGGAGATCTTGAGTTCAGGGACAGTTCGGGGGCAACACCTGTGAGTAGCAAACCAAAATAACTCTATGTGCATTTTATTTTTATTATGTCACCACCAGAAGTGGTAACATATTGTTACAGCCTCCAATTATTTGGGGATGTTGGTTGGTGTTTGGTGGTTGGTGTCTGTAACAAATGGCATTCTGCAGTACATGTTTGGAGGTTGGCATCTTTGACAAATGGCATCCTGCAGTACGTGTTCGGTGTTTGGAGGCTGGCATCTTTGACAAATGGCATTCTGCAGTACATGTTTGGTGTTTGGAGGTTGGCATCTGTGACAAATGTCATTAGCAATTGGTGTCTATAACAAATTACAGGTGGTGGGATTTTGCATGTTAATGTATGGTTTAGTATTCTCTAAGCATACTGAAGAGTTAATTTACAACAATTATTGCTCTTTTCAGAACTCTTATTTTATTGTTAAATCTTGATTGCTTGAGAATGTTGTTTTCGTTCCCTGCTTTTAACAAGATTAAGGAAATAGACTTGGGAAAAACCATGGGCATTCAATAGATTGAAAGACCATCGAAAAATGTATGTTTTCCCATTTTTAAAAAAGTACTATAGATCTAATTATTTATTTTATTTTCTCATTTAGCTTCACATAGCTTCTGCAAATGGGTTCCTGCAAGTTGTAGAGTTTTTATTGGACCAGAGGGTGAATGTTGATGCCCCAGACAATGACCGTTGGGGCCCAGTTCACGCTGCTGCATGCTGGGGGCATCCCGTGATAATGGAGCTACTTGTTCAGGCGGGAGCCGACATTGACGCAACAACAAAACATGGAGAAACACCTTTTGGTAATTAAATTGCGATGAAGCATTTTTGGTAAAATGTGTCATATTGTTTGTAAAATTGAGTTTGATAAAGAATTTTGTTTCAGAATTGAAATATTAAAATCAGGAAATGAATTCACATTCAAAATGTAAAAAACATCAAAAAAACTTTTTTAGTATAATTTACTTATTCCACTTCATTTTTATGGTTCATATATGATTAAAAAACATTAAGTAAATGAGAGGAATTCAGATTTCACGCTTGAGAATGACCACAATTTGAAATGAAAAACATAACTAATAGTTTATAGTTTAAGCTGTAATTCTCCACTTTTCAGACATATGCGAAGATCCAGATTTCAAAGAGAGAATACTTGAGATGAAGGATGAAATTGAGTTTAAAAAATCAAATAACAGGGGAAGTGGTACCATAGATAGTAGGACAGGGGTGAGAAAACATCCAAGCAGGAGGTTAGTATCCGCTCAATGTGTGACCTATGTTACTCACCAGTTTCACTCAGTATTGTTTATTGCACTCAATAGAAAACTATGTTTGAGTAAATTGTGGGTCTGTAGTTCCTGATTTCCAGTTTTTCATTTGCTTTTGTTTTTATGTAAACATTATAAAAATGAAAGACATTTGAATTTAAGAATCTCCTGACCCTTATATGTTTAAATAATGTAGCATTCAAAGGCTTGAGTGAAATCCCCCTCGCGGGAAGGGGTGGGGATTTTGACAAAAATGGGCTGTCTGATTCTGTACTCGGCTCTCCTGGGACGAAGCACTATGTCAAAATTCCACTTTTGAGTGGTCATGCATGTCAGCTTCCCAATCCTCCCGCCTACGAGGGTCTCATTCAAACCTTTGAATGGTGCATAATTGCCCCCTGCAGTACCCACTGAATTTACCTCGATTACTTGGAATATTTTTCACATTTTTAGTATTCTAGATAGACCAACAAGAATGTTATATATCACATCTTATGAATTACATTTTTGAATTTATCTGTCACAGCCATTTACATACGATGCGATGTGGTTTTATGTATATCAGTAAATAAGTAAAAGGTTGTGACAGAATTAAACAGCATTTATCGCAAAAAACAAGCTACTGAAACTGATTGAGCGATATCACGCCTAGTTTTTCAGATTTATTTCATATCTCATGATTTGTTTTTTATTTGACGCTACAATATATCAAAAATTTGACCAGCTAGATTTTTTCACCAACAACATTACAAATCCTTATCTTAAAACAGTGTTAGAAATAATTGAATATAATCAGCATGATATTCTAGTTTAGGCGACTACTAACTCATCAATTCAAATTGTACACGACGTGCAATACGTTGAGTTTGTGCTGTTACCCTTTCAGATAATTTTGTGGTGTTCTTAGGTGCTGAATCTTCTTCCTTCCCACAAATGATGTGAATATTTTGGACTCACATTTAAACTGTACAAGTCAGGTTTTCACTAAGAATTTTTCACAACAGGCTAAATAAATGAAAACAACAGACAAAATTAATGGAAATCATAAATTTAACATGGAAAAGTTGAAAAGTCCCTAAAAACTACAGGCGATTTTGTGAAAACAATGGGTGAAAATCGCCTGTTGCCTGCTACTAATGAAACCCCTGCAAGAATACCGTAGATCACCACAAAATTCAGTAGAATTCTGTTTGTGCAGATACATCTCACTCTTTTACTAACATTTATCAAATATAAGTATGAATTATAGATTAAAATATACACTAATTCTGTTTTAGAATTGAATCCCAAAAACTGTTCAAGTTGAATGCTTGTTGAGATATAGTGCATTTTGACAATTTTTGACCCCCGTGTTTTGAATTTGAATGGAAGTATCTGTTAAAGAATTGTCTGTGTAAAATTGTGTTTGTGAAAATCGTCCTATGTTAGATTCAGACTTTTTCTGGAACTTGTGGCCGTTAAGAATGAAATTGTAATGTTTTACCCTTTACCATGGTAACATTCTAGCTCTGTTAGTGGATTTCTTGTTTTTTACATTTTTATTCCTCTTATTTTATTCAATGTTATTTATTTTTTCACTATGGATCACAATTCACGGAAAACCCTTTCCAGGCATTTCAATGCTCTGCCTTTCATCTGGAGGTACGTTGCAACAATACTGTTTTCCCGTCAGATTTTTTAATTCATATTTTTTGTGTTGTACCAATGCATGTGGACGAGTATGTTCTCAATTTCTGCTTCTTTATATTGCACATCAAGATATTCATTCTCAAAAAGAGTCATATAACAAAGAGATGAGAAAACTTCTCATATAATTATTTGGGAACCTCCAAACTTCAAGTCTCAATGGAGTCGAATACTTTATAAGGTTTCCTGTCTGGGGGCATTCCATCTTCATTGCAATTTTAAGCACTGTTGGAATATACAGTATTGATAAAACCTACCTTTTGGTGTTAATGTACCAAACTTAGAGCATAATACATCCTTAAAAAATTCACACTTTTTTGTAAATTCACACTTTTTTGTTTGCACATTTTGTATGTTGTTTGTTTACCAGTTATTGTTTGCACCATCTGATTAATATTTGTTGTTTATTTTTTCAATTTACACATCCTGCAGTCTTCTCATATAGTGGTTGTCACATTTTCAAGAAGATGGTTCAGAAATTAGCAAGAAAAAGAGTCACTTCTCAAAAAAACATTCATGTGCTTGTCAGTTTGGCTCATATTTATCAAATCGGTCAAGGCTTTTGAGATTTTGGCAAATATTGTTTGATAGACCAGAATTTTACGATTTGTCTGCATGTAAGATCAGAAAATAATTGAAAAGCAAATAGCAACCTAGTTCTATACAACATGTGCTCCAAAGATGGCCATCTGCTCATTTGATAAAATTTTGCTCTTTTCTCATTAAAAGTTGAATGAAGTATCTGATTCTCTTCCATTTCGATACAATTTAGAATGTTGCCTTCATGCCTGTTTCATTTAATTCTTGCTTGTTTCTCTCTATTCCACTCTATTTTTAAACATGACCATTAGACATTTTATTTACTGGCAAAATAGGTCAACGACAACACTTAGGGCGTAATAATTTATCATTTTATGTCACAAACTTTAATTTATCATCGGGGCCTGAATGATTAATAACGTAATAACCTATTAGTTCATTTACACAATAGAAATAATACCTTATATATTTTTTGATATTTTACTGCACCGTACATGTTTTGCCACATTTATCTGTATTTGTATTTATATTGCACAGCACTGTTATATATTTTATATCATACTTTTCTATTATGTTTCCAGAATTTTTGCTTTACATATTGCACTTTTCTTATACCATACTGTGTTATACTGCACATTGCTATGTTGTATTATATTGCATATTGCTATGTTGTATTATACTGCACATTGCTGTGTTCTTTTAAACTGCACATAGATGTGCTGTATTTAAAACTGCACAGCGTTGTATTGTATCATACTGCACATTGCTGTTTAATACAGCACATTGCTGTGTTGTATTAAATTGCACATTGCTGTTTTATATTAAACTGCACATCACTGTACTGTATTATACTGCACATTGCTGAACTGTATTGTACTGCACATTGCCTTGTTGTATGTAATATACTGCATATTTTATAATACTATCCTGCATTTTGACACTTTTCAGTGACCAGTCCTCGATCACCAAACATCCATCTAATGCTAGGTCTGTCTCAATTAGTTATTGTATCAAACTCCACATTCTTTCCCCATACTCTTTTCTCCTATTATTACCACCTTGCAGGGCCTGTTCTAGGGGTTTTAGTACTAGTTGAGAAGGCATTTAAATTGCTATATTGATGTGAGCAATATTGTGTCAGGCGTTAATGACTTTAGTCGGGCAATATTTCACTATATTGCCCTTTGAAATGACGTTATTGTACTATTGTATTGTACAGAAGAGTATGGGAGAGTTACAAATATATGCTAAATCCGGGGACAGTTTCTCTCAAATCACTCTTGTGCCAAATAATTCTTCATCCCAATCGTTTTCAGTGCTTTGCTACCAAAATGGCACTAGTGAACGAATTCTGGAGCAAATATTTTATGTAAATTTTCTACAAATTATACCACAGGATAGGGAGGCAATGTTGTCCATGTAGGTAGTTGTTAGACACACAATGCAGCCATTAGCCCCACAATGATCTACATGGACACCATTGCTTCACTGCCTTCTAGTGTACAAATGTCTTTAAATGTCAGCATTTGAGAGAATTGTTCCTAGATTTACAAAACCTATTTAAAGCCATTTTATATATAAGCTTCATAGATAGAGCCTAGTATTATAAACATGATGCTTTTGGTTGGAAATAGAAGATAATGTCCCTGAAAAAGCTCCCTTATATGTTACTTTAGCACATAAGCATCTTGATATATGTTTTGCTATAAATGTATTTATAATTTTATTTTAAGTCTTTTTAGACATCTGAGATCCCTAGGCCTGGCTTTATATTTTTTGTATCAGAAAGCTTGATGTACACATATGAAATATATACACCGAGGCCTTGCTTTTCTTGAGAAAGCTACCTACCTATGAAATATAAAAAATAGGCCTAGCTTTACTTAAGAAAGCACTCATCTGTAAACAATGTTCATGATCATTTTTGTCCCAATCACATGTATGAATGTATGTCTATGAATGTTTAAGGCTACTATCTAGAGACTCGGTGTATATTTATATAGGAACTTGCAAATTGGACCAACTTTTGCGTCTTTCGTTATTATCATTATTATATTGATATGCATGAAGATTTTGTGTTCGTGACAAGATTCATTTTGCCATTATCTGATTCACCCGATTCTCTAAATGAGTTCCTTTTGAGGATTATGGGAAATATTTCTCCGATGATATGGGTCGATACTAGATAATATGGGTACCAATATGGGTATTGCTATTAGACTCCATTGCCCATTGGGAAGTGTTTTCCTCCTCTGTTTGTTTGTCATTGCATGGCTATACCCTTCCAAGGAATAGCATTAATATGTCTATGTTTTTACCATAAGACTCATCCAATGTAAAATGTCCAGGAGATTATGTTTCTAGTTGAAATATATTGCTAAAAATGGTGGAATTACCAAGAAATGAAATAAAATGTCATGAGCTACTAAATTTCTTGGTAATGTCAGATACTTCTTTCAAATGTTAGAAATGTTTGGAGAAATAAACATGTCACTTTTAAATCATGCTTTATATGTATCTATTCATGCTGATTCCTGAATACTTATCACCATTTCTCTTTGAAATTTGAATGAACTGCCTAAAGCTCATTTTTCAATAATTTAGAGTTTTATCTCCATATTTGTCTGCTTTTTCCTTGTTTTTCCACATTTTTGCACTTTATTTTGAATTTTAAAAACATGACCACCTCATGACATTTTACACCCAGATGAGTATCGTAGTCATTCCACATGTTATTTCTTCAGCTCGCAAGGCTCTGTATATGAGTCAAACACGTCCCTTGAGAAAAATGTGCTAAGGTCTGAACCCATTCGTGTGCAAACGTAAGGCTTATTCTGCCATCTATCTCCTTGCAGTGTCAACTCCTCGGTGTGAAAATCTGTCATTATCTGGACAATGGGGAGGTTTTGCATTACGTTTTTCACCCAATAATCTGTCATATCAATGATCAAAAAAATGAAAAAAAAATGTTTATTTTTCATGATGTCATGGATAGATTATGTGGTCTAACTAACGTTAGGCAAAGCCTCTTTAATACCTTTATCTGATTGACAACCAATATACATGTACATGTATTGTAAATTTCAGTCTTCATTTCACAGTAACCTTTGGCCCACATTTTGCATTAATGTTAATAACATCCAGATATTTTTATTGTACTTAACTAACCTTATAATTTCACTTGTTTGTCTATGTTTTCAAAATTAATATTATGATATTTTCAAGATTTCATGAACAAAAAGTTCTAGTTTTTAAAAGTTTAACATCCACTTTGAGGTGTTCTTTCTGTTTTAGATGAATTTACATGAAAAATATTGATATCTATAGTAAATTTAACATTAGTTGTGGGTGTAAAATTCTTCTAAATTGTCTCATCACCATTCATATTTTTTATAGCACATTTGCATGCATTTTGGTTGTCTTTTTGGACCAAAAAAACCTTGCGAAAGATTTATTCCCCCATATTAGACTAAAAAAATCAGAAAAGGAAACATTCTAGGTATTGAATCTTTGGCAAGGATAAATATTACATCCCCTTTATTCCCTGTCTTATCGGATGGGCTAACAAATCAATTGTCTTGCCTCTGTCCCTTTCTGGTACTCAGCACATCTCTGTCTTGTAACAAGGTCTTTGGCCTAATCCTCAAAGTTCAGAGTTCTCTGTCTTAGTCATCTGTCAAGAATTTCAGCATTTTCTTTTGTCAACTAACCGCACACTTTAAATCTAAAAGATCAATATACTTTGGGTGTATTGTAACCTTCACATTTTCATAAACTACAATTAAATTTCCCTGTTCATTATTTCAGTTACGTTCATTAAAAAGGCCCCAAACTCAAGTATGAGGTAGAATCCATATGGATTACCACCATATGATCTCTACTTCTCATGCAGTATTGATTTAATTGACAATGTAAGCATTGAGGCAAACAATTGATTTGTTGAGTTATTCTTGCACACAATATCTTTGGCTTGGAAATGAAACGTCAGGGCACATGCTTTCACATGGTAACTTCAACCGTTAATTAGAGTTTTTGACCTACCAGATGTTTGAAAATCAAGGATTATGAGTGTCATAATGCACAGTTTTTTCTTCAAACTTGTCTACTCAAAGCATAATAAAATCACCTACTTCCAGCGGCATTTTGGTCCCCAGCTGTGAGAAGGGCTTCTAACAGCTGGGGACCAAAGTGCTGCTTAAACGAGGGACTCTTTACAATAAAGCAATGCACCGACAGAAAGGCAATTTTGTTTTGCTTTGAATGGAACAAGTTTGAAGAAAAATGGTGCAGTATGAGATTCGCAATCCTTGATTTTCAAACACCTGGTAGGTCAAAAATTCAAATTAACAGTCGAAGTTAGTACCGCGCGACTTTTCACTCTAGTGTGGTCATCCTGACATTTTATCTCCAAGTTAGATGCTTTGTATGGTAGGATGCAAGCCCTTATAGATAGTAGTACACACTAGTATAAGTTCACCATGATATGGTCAGGACCATAGCCAGGGGGGTAGGCCAAGAATTCTTCCAAAATCATGCAGTTTTCATCATTCTGGGCATGTTTCAAGTAATTTTGGTCCAAAGTTGTACAATGTGACCTCTTCCTGGAATTTTTTGAGAAGTGAACGGCCCCCTTGGCAAAAGCTGGCTATGGGCCTGATGGTAGGGGGTATCAATAGGGGGTGGGGTGTCAGGGTGGGCTTGGTAAAGAGTAAAAATGCTTGGATTGGGGCTAATATCGTGACAATATCAATTATGAGTTGAGGCTGTAATCCTATATATCGTTATAGCTCAGGTCATGTGTCAAAGTTACAATGTGTTTAAATGTGTGGTCATGACACACACACATTAATGTGTCATAGGACATGTAACCACTCCACTTTCATCAGTATGGACAATTTTTTATTTATATATTTTTCATATATTTTTTTTAAAACATGCACACATTTTTAAGCTACGATTTACTGCTTAAAAAGCTTCACAGCAATTCATTATCTTTTTTATTTTCCATGGATTAATTTTTTACATTCTGTTTCATTTCTTTATTTTTATTTCATTTTTCTAGGCTTATTCTCTCCTGTTTCCTTTTCATGTGATAGTGACATCATTTATTTTGATTTTCGATATTGACAGCATGTTTTTTGTTTTGTTTTTTTTTTATATAGCCGTTGCATGTGCATGCCTTAGTTCTGACATTTAATTGGTGAATTGGTCTGTAGATTTAAAATTAAATGTTACGTGTATAAAATGTGAATGTTTCAACACTAGTATGTAATTTCTTTAATTGTCTTGTTTGTTTAATTAATGTTAATGACAATTCAATATGTGTAGTGTCTTATTGTATATATGGATTAACATTATAAATAATTTGTGGATGTTATTCAATTAAGGAATGTTATACAATAAATGGGTGTTATACAATAAATGGGTATTACACAATAAATGGGTGTTATACAATAAATGGGTATTACACAATAAATGGGTGTTATACAATAAATGGGTATTACACAATAAATGGGTGTTATACAATAAATGGGTATTATTCAATCAGTTGGTCGTAAATTCTTTTAATTTGCCCTCAAAATCGTTGATATTATAACTTCAAACTCACTCACTCTAAAACTGTCCATAAGAGTGAAGTGCTTACTAATGTTAATTTTCAAAGTTGTTTAACATGCTATGCTGCTTTTTAGGTTAATACTGTTCATTATTATTAATACTGTTCATTATTATTAATACTGTTCATTATTATTAACACTCTTCATTATTATTATCAATACTGTTCATTATTATTAATAATACTGTTCATCATTATTAATCATGTTCATTATTATTAATACTGTTCAATATTAATGTTACCTTCAAATGATATAGAAGTGTCACTAAATGAAAACCTGTAGTGTTTCATATTTGCTTTGAACCATCCATACGCTATTAAAAATGTTACCAGAAAAGTATTCCCTCAGGTTTTTACTTCTATTTACTATAATGATAATATTTCACCCAGAATGCATTAGTTCTACATTATGCTAAATTGTGAATCTTGCCACATGTCAGAAAAAAGTTGTCCCCCCCCCCTAACTCCCTATGATTATGAGTATCATTCCTCCCATACCTACCCTCAGCACCCCCCCCCCCTCCCCCTCCCACCCAAGCTAAACTTACTATTATCCAATAACCACAAATGAAGACATTGCATTGTACATTTAGTTACCCATATCCAGGAAAGAAATATCAGGTTTCATAAAATAATTGTTTTCTTTTGTCAGTTTTGTACAGCATGATTTTTCATTGTTTTCCTTAAAACTTAATTGATGAATCATGTAGATATAGTGGCATCTCTAGCATGTTTTACATATTTTGTTTCTTGTGCTATCAATTAAGAGCTCCCCTTTCAAAATACATTCTACAACATTTCTGAAACATCAACCAGGACTCTCTTGCTAAATATTTGTATAAATCTAACAAAAAAAAACATTTTTCATCATAGCTAACAAGATTTGGTCAAATCGTAAATGTATTTGTAAGGGTTGACTTTCTCAATTTGAAACTGATTCCGTTTTGTCATTGCACTTACTGTCATACATACCCTATGCATGCATACAAGGGGTGTCCAATAAAATCTTACCTATTTATGTGTACGAAGGGTGTTCAATAATTATCTATAAAGTTTGTATCTCAATTTTCCAGTGCATCTGTTAGGAGAACAAGTATGAGAGAGAAGGGGCAGATTTCTCGGAAGGAAGCGAAAGACGAAGGGAAATATCTTGCATCAATATCTATCGATAATGATTTAAATGAGGTTCCATCCCCGGTAAGAATTGTTTTCCCTCTTTGTATTCGCTCTATTTCCCCATCAGCGCTCTGAATAAATATTCAGCTAAGAAAGTATCTACAAAAATATCGTAATACATTACGTATCTTCTTGTCATTTCTTTATTTAATTTCATGCTTATATGTTTTTTGGTCTTTTACTATGTTCAACAAATCTATGAGTAATAGCTTTTTACCCTAAATATAATTCATGTTTATTTACCCTATATCTCAATGAAATACTAAGTTGTTACCTTTTTCTGGAAAGAAACTCATGGTGTCTATGTTACATTGATGGTACATTTTTAAAGTTAAATTTTTTCAATCAATTGTTACATTTTTAAAAATAAATTTCAACTAAAAGGACAATAAACTTAGGGAGTCATTTATGATTTTCTAACATACCCATGATCTGCATGTCAGATGTCTACATCCAGTTATAGGGAACATGCAGTTATAGGGTACATGTCATTAATTTAAAGGAAACACAAATAAATTGAAATTGAAAAAATAGGGAACTAATGAAATGATCTCCCTTCATCAATTTCAGGAGCCTGAAGAAAATGGCTTTGATGACAGTACGCCCCCTTTACCACCAACTACAGAGCCACCTTTTGATGACCAACTAGAACCTGCTGAAGTTGCTATGGTAACTGTTGATGTTGCCATCTCTCAGGACAATGGACTTGACACGATTGAACGCAAAAATATTGTGGAAAAAGAGTTCGATCAAAGACATAGTTTAATAAAGGAGGATGTCCCTAAGACAACGGAAGGGAGTATATACCAGAAAGACAAACGTCCAGAGTCATCAATGAGTTTGAAAACTGCAGCAACAACGGAACCGATTAAAACAAAAGTAAAGCAATCAGAAAGTGTCCCTGATAACATAAAGTTATCATCAACACCCGTTCCAGTGTCAACTAGTACACCAATAGCTGTTACTGTTCCTGCTAACACTAAAAAACAAGAGGATAAAAAAGAAAATTCAAATAAAGAAAATGTCGAAATTAAGAGCTCACAAAATGACTCGCAACCTCGGGATATAGTACCGACCGAGGAGCACTTGAAAACGCTTGAAGATGCTGCGTCGCCAACGCAGAGTAGCTTCACGTCGCAAAATAGTGTCACATTAGCCGAACTTAAGAAGCAAAGGTCAGAAGTTTTACGAAATTCATTACGGGTTAGCGACCCTAAAAGTGTCACGGATGCCCTAAAACAAATAGACAATGAGGAAAAAGCTAAAGCTGCAAATAACTCCCATAACGGTACATTTGCAAAACCTGGTGAACAGCCACTAAAAAAATTCACAGCGTACAATCAATCAGAAATTATCGGAGGGAATGATAAGAAAAATCGGTGTTGTATTGTGATGTAACAAAGGAGGTATTTTCCTCCCATGGAATTTATGGGAATTATTTTTATTGTTCGTGTAAAAACCAAGAAAATTGAATCAATATGTTTCTGGCATAGTAACGCATAGAATTGTATACATACAAACAAAGGCATTTAAAAGCTTCCTAGTCAACTCGTACCCAAGACAACTCGTACCCAAGACAACTCGTACCCAAGATTATTTTCAGTATTATGGGTGCATATTAGGGAAAAAATTGAGTTTGTAATGCTTTCATGTTATAATGTGAATCAAATAAGCCTCAATATTTTTTTGAATTTAGGACATTTTTTCTCAATGGATCAGTAAAGCATTTTTTTTATTAAATAAAAGAAGTGCTTGAAGCGCTTGTTCTCAACATTTTTTTTATAAATAAATGTAATTACAACATTAGATCTGACACTTGTTCCAAACACTCATAAACATACATAATTTTGAAAAATGATTATAAATATGTGGAATAAACATATGTCTCTTCACTCGAACATCCTGAATCTGTGACCAATATGAAATAATAGTCAATAAAAATTGACACTCAGCTCAAAATGTCACAAAATTAAATCAATTTCTTCTGAAAATTCTTCTTCAAACTTCAAACTATTCTGAACAGTATGTTACAATTATAATATGTATATCTATTCACATTCCCAGTCCAATGCTTGATTCAAAACAAAATATATACTTAGGTACGAGTTGTCTTGGGTACGAGTTGTCTTGGGTACGAGTTGTCTTGGGTACGAGTTGACCAGTTACCATTTAAAATTGTGAATACCAGTGAATGAAATGTAATTCAGGTCATACTTTTAAACACAAAATAGAGTGGAATTCAGAGAATTTTGCAAGGACAAACATTAATAGGCATTAAGTTGATAATAGCAATACCAGGAAATTGGGGATATAAGGCAACATACATGTACAGTAAAACCTGTGTACAGTGAACACCCATAGAGCATCAAAATTGTGTTCACTGTAGGTAGGTGTTCACTACAGAGAGCTTCATATTATGTTTTCATTATTTACTTTGTGACGTTTCGTCCAGCATGGTTGAGACATGATGAAAATATAATATGAATTTAGTAGGACTACCCAGATGAATCTATCTAGAACTACAGAGGTAATTTTTAAAGAAGTCGGTAGAGTATGTGCAGAGGAATTGTGTTCACGAGAGACAGGTGTTCACTAGAGAGAGGTGTTCACTAAGACAGGTTTTACTGTATATACTGTAGTAATACAAAAATATGTATGATCAGAATCACATTTTAACACATTGAAATATGAAATGAAAATGCAATTTACAGTAATGAAGTAGAAAGTGATTATTATAAGAAACTGATGATGTAGTTGATGAATTGGAGGACACATTGCCATATTTTTATATTTAATTAAAATGAAATTTGATCAAGATTATTGTCAAATCAATAATGAGAAACTGTATCCTTTATGATCGCAGTACTTGACCACTTATGAATATAAAGACCATTCATGATTATATGATTCATGATATATGATAACGCTTACAATAAAATGGATAATTTATTTGGATCACTAAGGACCACTTTTTCATTGATGATATAGGACCACTTATGATTATTGTTCACTTATGATGAAATAAATGAATGAACTAAAAAAGAATAAAAGTTGATAATTATATATGATATTGCTTGTATATTTACCATATAATGTACATAAATTATTGTTATCATTATAGAAGGAAACTAAGGCAACCTGATTAGATATCTGATATGATAATATGAATGTATATCTCATGAATTATGGATTAGATACGATATGTTGATTGTCTTACATTGGTACAGCATAGTAAAGGTTGTCCAAAATGTTGTTATTACGGATATATATTTTTCTACGATAATGTCTCACAATACAATACAAAGGTCGAAGATGGACCAATTAATTATTGGCTTTCTTTAAAGTTTTCATATTATACAATTCACATATGCCATATGATCAATATGTAGCGAGTCATGAAGTTATATGCTTGTTTGAATCATACAATCAACAGCAATTGTACAAATAGCACTAATCATACAAACAACTAATCATACAAACAACACCAGTCATTGTAGCAGCTTGCTTACTCTTTGTTCTAAATGATGCAAAATTTTGAAATATCTATGAGTTCAATATTATATATTTGAAAACTGTCACATTCCAAAAAGATTGTATATATTCATTGTTTTATAAATTAGTTCATTAATTCAAATTAATAAGGGGATGTCATGAGTATATATTGTGGTGACCATGCTAATGGGACAAATATTGAAGAAATATTTTTGAGTTTAGGCTAGAAAAAAATTTGTTCTTCTATTAGTATTAGGAATATCTTCCAGAATATATTTTAGGCATTGATTGGAGAAAAAAATTGTATCATTTTGAAATTGGGATTAATATGGAACGTGTTCCAAAGATTCAAAAGTCTGCCCCTTGAGCATGGATTAAAGGAATCGCTGAGAGTATGTCCACACTCCATACATTATACGTGTGCTTTATTCACCATATTAACCACAGTGCCATCTATATTCAAATAAGTGCCCATAGACATTAACACCAATCTGACACTGAGTCAAACTACAACATAATTTTTTTTTAAATCTCTAAAATAATTTTTAAAGTGATAAACAATAATAATGATAATAACATACATTTTCAAACTTTGCATGGGGCTTTCGAATATTTTTGTAAGTTGTCATTGAGTTAACATTATCATTTTTTATCCATTTTATTGGATTTCCTTTGGATGAATATTGTGAATAAAGTACATTCTTAACACTGCCAAAGTTTTTTTTATGCATATGTTTATGCACCACCTGCTGTAAGCTTCCTCTGAAGGAACTTAAGTGGTTATATGTAGATTAAGAATATATGTTATTTGTAAAGCTTCTGACCGATGCTTCCAAGTTTGTCTCGTGTTTTGCAACTTCCAATTCATGTTTTGTGAGTTGCACACAAATTGTATCTTCCAATACAGCTTTCAATTCATGTTTGTCTCATGTGTTTCACAAAGCTACAGCTTCCATGTCATGTGTTCCACACAAAGCTTCAGCTTCCATGTCATGAGTTGCGCACAAAGCTGCAGCTTCCGTGTCATGTGTTGCACACAAAGCTGCAGCTTCCAAATCATGTGTTGCACATGAAGCTGCAGCTTCCATGTCATGTGTTACACACATGGCTGCAGCTTCCAAATCATGTTTTAAGTATGTTACATGTTTGCTTTTATGCACATTTAAAATATGAGGCCTAGTTATTCTTCAGACATCTTTGTTTGCTATATTCCTTAACTAGTTTTGTACTCTGCATTTGTATACTGAACATGTGTCTACTGTACACAGTCATGTTTATTTATGTACATTTGTACACTGTACATGTGTACTGTATATCTGTGAACTGTACATATATTAACTGTACATATGTGTTCACTGTACAACTGCACATTGGTACAGTTTGGGACAACAAGGATGTTCTTACAACTGAACTTACATCTTTCAATAGGGCTTCAATTGTATTGTTTACTAAGTAGGCTTAAAATGGCCCTCTGTGGGTCAAAATAAAAGATGCACCAAATAGTTTATGGAGTTGCCCCATCTATTGGGAGCCCATCGAAGATGTAATGAAAATATATATTTGTAGGACAATGTATTAAAATGTCTTGTCACGTTGCAATGTATAAGTAATCATAGCTGGCTATGTCTATGTACAAATAGCTACAGTTACAAATAACTACAATTTCAGATAGCTACAATTACAGATAGTGTTACAATTACAGATAGTGTTACAATTACAGATAGTGTTAACATTACTGTTACAATTACAGTTACTGTTAACATTACTGTTACATTTACAGATACTGTTAACATTACTGTTACAATTACAGATACTGTTAACATTACTGTTACAATTACAGATACTGTTAACATTACTGTTACAATTACAGATTCTGTTTACATTACTGTTACAATTACATATTCTGTTTACATTACTGTTACAATTACAGATACTGTTAACATTACTGTTACAATAACAGGCTACTGTCTATGATTGCTAGCTATAATTAATGTAAAAATTGTTTTTATTTGAAAAAGACTTGTTTTATTCAAGCAGTAGAATACAGATATAGCTCCGTTTATTTTACAGGTTACTTATTTTCATCAAAACTCCCATTTCAAATATTCTTATTTTGTTTAGTTCTTATTTTGACCATTACTTGTTTTTGAGTCCACAAAATTCACAATAGTTCAAAAGAGAGTATATTATTACTACAGATTTATGATATACATGTAAATGTACCATATATTGTAAATATGTACATGTATTTACACTTTGTAATGTACATACTTTATGGTACATGTACTCTTAATAGGAAGGCAATATAGAGGGTTAATAATAGTATGAATCACATAATATATTATAGACAGAAAATTGTTTTATAAATATTCTTGTTTCTGTATGTATAAAACATACATGGTTGTTTTGCTATTTTGTATATAAATGTATACATTTATGAGAATGTACAATACATACATGAACAAACAGACAATATCTCAAATGATTTAATATAAATTTCTTGTTTTGTTTATTTTTTGCACATAGGCTCCAGCTCCTCCAAGGAGAGGTTCCTGGGTCTGCCTCCTATGGTTACATGCATTAATTATGACAGTAATATACGGGATATACCCAAGAGGTATTGCTCACCTTCATCGGTGGTAAACAAAATACAATCAGTCTACTTTTCTTTTAGTCATGAACCTGCTTTTCACAAATCTACATACAAACAATATAACATTCTTCAAAATGACGAGGATAACTGACATAATTAAGATCAGGAAAACATAGATGTCAATCATCCAGAGTTGCCAGAAAGGCATATCAACTGAACTCGGTCTCAAATGTTCCCCTCCAAACATTGCTACATGTTCTAATGCCTCAAAAGCTCTCTTTCTGGGGCTCTTCCTTGATCTGAATATCTTTGAAGCCTTTTGGATGTTATCTCTGTATGTACTGTTAGCTAGAATTTCGTTGATGTTATGTAAAAGCTGGTCAGCAGTTAAATCATGTACATTCATCGCAATCCCATATCCTTTACTTTGCATTCTGATGGCATTGTGTGGTTGGTCCGCAAACAGTGGTAATCCAAGCATGGGGACTCCATTGTACAGTGCTTCATATTGCCCATTGTTACCACAGTGAGTCATGAACAGTTTCACCTTAGGATGGGCCAGGACATCGTTTTGAGGAATCCATTTCAATATTTTGATACGAGATGGTAAATCACTGAAATATCCGTCATATTTCCATATCACACTTTCTTTTACTGCTTTGAAAACAAAAATGAGTTTAGCTATCATTTCGGGATCTAAAATATCTGATTTTGATCCGAATGATACTAATATGACATTGCTGTTAGTTTTCGTTATAAAGTCTTCAAGCTCTGAAGGTAAAGGCTTGTTGGGCATTATTGACAAGCCTCCAACTTGGATGGCATTCTCCATCAATGGGACATGGAATTCAAGCAGGTTATCTTGGTTAATCATCCAGAGTAGTGTCTTGCGTTTTAGCTCAAGATATATTGCAGGTCGGTTGGGAGCATATTTCTTTATGAGTGCGTTGCCTGCAGCTTCGTCCAAACTATTTGTAAGTATCTGCTCTCCTATGATTGTGGCCAAGAAGTTTGAAATTCGTTGTAAAAATGTCATCCTGTCTGTATATAATGTGCCCGTACTTGGCACAAATGATGGCAGAGCTGGGGCACCCATCAAATAGTTGAAATTAGCAGTGGCGAGAGAACAGAATGGGATATCCAGCATGTATGGTATGATATAAAGACTATCTAAAAATGGAGTTCCATCCACTACCGCAATGTCATACTTTTCCTTTTTGAGTGATTCCACTGCCCCTTCATTATCAAGCAAAGCACATACAGTTTCACTTGTTACATCAATAAAAGCTTTCATGAGTGGGAGGATTTTCAAGAGGCTTTTTCCTTTTGCTTGTATCTGCCCCAGTTCTATGAGTACTTCTGTTATCTCCTTGTCCGTTTTATTGGTTGGGATTATATGCGTTGTCATGCTGGATCCTTTGCTCCCTTTGGGCACTCTGTTGAGTAAGTGTGGGGATACTACTAACCCGACCTAGAATTAGATAAATCTTGGTTATGTCATTCCTCTACTTAAATACATGTAACCACATAATGAGCTATACAGCAAAAGTCATATTCCATATAGGATACACAGACTATACTCGTATGGCATGAGTCATATTCCATACAGGCTATACAACATAAGTCATATTATATACAGCCTATATAGCATAAGTCATATTGTCATATTCCATACAGGCTAGCCTATATGGCATAAGTTATATTCCATACAGGCTACATACATGTAGCATAAGTCATATTCCATCCAGGCCATATATGGCATACGTCATATTCCATACAGGCTATATTGCATAAGTCATATTCCATATATAAATATATTTTAAATAAGTCTCGTCTCACCTGGTGTCCTTGTTCGAGGAGCTCCTCCCCAAGAGGGGTGAAGTAAAGCAGATGACTGGGCACCTGGGCAGGAATTAGAAGTACCTTCATGGCCAGGGCCGATGGCACAATAAGCAGTATAAGTAATGACAGTCTAATTTCCATGGTTCATCGGGGTTGTTCTGTTTTTGGTTATACACTGTTTATTTTGCCTGTGTTGCAGTAACAACTAGTAGAGTTATATCTCATCACAATATGCTTTGATGATTGATGTATACATGTACTTTTCCGCTCCATTTTTACTTCTATAGTGCTATATGTATGTTAAGCTCCAGTTTTATGTAGTTCAAGGTCTTTCAAAATAAATGCTATAAACATAAGTTAATTTCTAGACCTTGTCAGTAACAGGTATTAGTATTATTTATTACTTTTCTAAACCTTCTCAAAAAGAATGGGTGTAAATAGAAATAACCTTGATCTACAGGGTGACACATAAAAATGACACCCATCCCCATAATATTGCATTACTTTTCTGTCGGCAAAAATTCTGCCTTGTTTCATGGCACATTAAAATAAGCATCCATGGTGCAACTCCACAAGAAGTTTCAGATGACTAGCTCAACTAAATGCAGGTTTATGAGTGTTACAAGGCGTGTAGTCTATTCCTTTACAGGTACACCTGGATTTTTTACAAAAAATGACAGCCTTTTGTAACATGGTTTTGCTTGTGCAAATTATATTTTGATTATTCTTTTAATAACATCTTGTAGATCATTAAAAAACGTCGACATTCATTCTGTGATGATAACTTCATCTATGTGCATTATTTAAAGGTCGTGTAGACCCCCGTTGCCTGATTTATAGAAAAAAACATTGCACTTTTGCATGATGGTGACATTGAGCCTTTTCAAATAGATCGCACACCTTAGAAATATATTAGTTAAAAATATGAAATATCTCATAGTTTTCACCATACCGTGCACCCATTCATTTACCGATTTATTGGTAAACTTTCTTTTGAAAAAATAAATCTTGCGGATGTGTTGAATTTTCAACCAGAAATCGGTTGCTCCCCGTCCGTTCAAGGCTATGGTGTACACTTTACGCATCAGAACAAAAAAACATATTTTTTATTTGTAATTGTATACACTCATCATTAAAAATGATTAATAAAAAAGAAAACCCGATTTACAGCATGGTATTCTAAAAAGAATTCTTAAAACCGTCCGTGATATCTTTACTTGAGTAGTGTGTCTAAATCACCAGTTAACTAAAAATTGAACGTTGTAAAAGTATAAAGACGAATAACGTCTTGAGCGTCGTAAATGCTTGTAATTGTTATGTTTTCTTGTTACATTTTACATGGAATTGTCAGACACAAAGAACTTTAAAAATGTGATAGGGTGTACATCTAATTTGTCTGCAAAAAAAACTTAAAAAGAAAACGTGATAGGAATGTTTGTTTATCATAGAGCACTATTGTTTAGAGTCGTGATTTCACTCCACCAGCAATAACCATGTTTTCTCCAGTTATATACGAGGCATCGTCAGATACAAAGAATGACACGGCTCCAGCACAGTCTTCTGACACTCCAAACCTTCCCATTGGAATAGTTGTCTTTTCCATCTCTTCAGCCATGGGGCTCTTCCATAACTGAAACAATAATCGTATCAATTTGTTTCATATCATCAATGCCTGTTAATTGCCAACAATTAAACTGTTAATTAATGTTAATTTTTACTCATTTTTTAATTAATTTATCTCTATAGTAAGATTATCAGGCGACATGTACTGCAAACATATCAATTACTTATTCATGAAAAATTATTTATGCTTGACTTTGAGTGAAACATTTACATTACCACAAGGCATATAAGCAATCATCATCCCATGTAAAAGAACAGAAAATTTTAACAATATCCCTATTGTCAACACAAAACAACCAACCAAGTCACAAAAATAGAGGCTATATTAATGGCAGCTACATATGAAAAATATGCTACTTACTGCTTCACTAAAGCGTGTTTTAATCACCCCGGGACATATTGTGTTGATCCTAATATTCATGCTTGCAAGTTGCGGTACAAGGGCCTTGGTCAGCCCTATCATAGCTGTCTTACTGACTGCATATGCACCAAGAAACTGAAAGTGAATTGTAAATGCAAACGTCATATATGTCAATGCTGGCAAGTTGCCGCACAAGGGATTTGGTCAGCCCTAGCATAGCTGTCTTACTGACTGAATATGCACCAAGACACTGAAAGTAAATTGTAATTGAATACATCATATACGTCCATGCTGGCAAGTTGCCGCACGAGGGATTTGGTCACCTCTAACATAGCTGTCTTACTGACCGAGTATGCACCAAGGAACTAAAAGTAAATTGTAAATGAATACATCATATATGTCCATGCTGGTTAGTTGCGGCACGAGGGCTTGGTCAGCCCTAACATAGCTGTCTTGCTTACAGCATATGCACCAAGAAACTGAAAGTGAATTGTTAATTGTAAATGAATACATCATATATGTCCATGCTAGCAAGTTGCCGCACAAGGGATTTGGTCACCCCTAACATAGCTAGTACTGACTGAATACGCACCAATCAGCTGAAAGTAAATTGTAAATGAATACATCATATTTGCCCATGCTGGCAAGTTGTGGCACAAGGGCCTTGGTCAGTCCAAGCATAGCAGTCTTACTGACTGAATATGCACCAAGGAACTGAAAGTAAATTGTAATAGACTAGATGCGAGTAGAAATAATCTTGATTTACGTCATTAAATATTCAAAATTCAGTCAAAGTTATGTCATATTTGAAATCTGCATGTAAAAGTACATCTACAAATATGGTTTCGAAAATTGTCTATCAACTTTGAAATTATTTTTTTTTGAAAATGTGACTTCTTGTTCGGGTTGATTCCCCATAGACCCAATGTTACAAAATCACAAAAAGTGAATTATCTTTTCTTGCATTGGACAGATAACATTTTCTTTTACTGGACATATTTTAATTTGCATAACTATTAGATACATAGGGGTTATATGAAAATTGAACCACGCAAATAGATGTAATTTAAGTTAAAGGGAACTTTCTACTATACCCGCCATGCTATCTGACCCGAACGAGCCACCTGGCGGTGAATCTGGTAACTACCTACTCGCATCTGCGTTATTGAATACATCATATATGTCCATGGTGGCAAGTTGCCGCACAAGGGATTTGGTCAGCCCTAACATACCTGTCTTACTGACTGAATATGCACCAAGGAACTGAAAGTAAATTGTGATTGAATACATTATATATGTCCGTCTATGCTGGCAAGTTGCGGCACAAGGGCTTTGGTAAGTTCTTACATAGCTGTCTTACTGACTGAATATGCACCAAGGAACTGAAAGTAAATTGTAATTGAATACATCATATATGTCCTTGCTGGCAAGTTGCGGAACACGGGCTTTGGTCAGCCCTAACATAGCTGTCTTACTGACTGAATATGCACCAAGGAACTGAAAGTAAATTGTAAATGAATACATCATATATGTCCTTGCTGGCAAGTTGCGGTACGAGGGCTTTGGTCAGCCCTAACATAGCTGTCTTACTGACTGAATATGCACCAAGGAACTGAAAGTAAATTGTAATTGAATACATCATATATGTCCTTGCTGGCAAGTTGCGGAACACGGGCTTTGGTCAGCCCTAACGTCGCTGTCTTACTGACTGAATATGCACCAGGGAACCGAAAGTAAATTGTAAATGAATACACCATATACATGTATGCCCATGCTGACAAGTTGCAGCACAATGGCTTTGGTCAGCCCTAACATAGCTGTCTTGCTGAATATGCACCACGGAACTGAAAGTAAATTGTAAATGAATACATCATATACATGTATGTCAATGCGGAGAAGTTGCGGCACAAGGGCTTTGGTCAGACCTAACATAGCTGTCGTACTGACTGAATATGCACCAAGGAATTGAAAATAAATTGTAATGGAATACATCATATATGTCCATGCTGGCAAGTTGCCGCACAATGGATTTGGTCACCCCTAACATAGCTGTCTTACTGACTGAATACGCACCAAGGAACTGAAAATAAATTGTAATTGAATACATCATATATGTCCATGCTGGCAAGTTGCCACACAAGGGATTTGATAAGTCCTAACGTCGCTGTCTTACTGACTGCATATGGACCAATTAGCTGAAAGTAAATTGTAATTGAATACTTCATATATGTCCGTGCTGGCAAGTTGCCGCACAAGGGATTTGGTCACCCCTAACATAGCTGTCTTACTGACTGAATATGCACCAAGGAACTGAAAGTAAATTGTAAATGAATACATCATATATGTCCTTGCTGGCAAGTTGCGGCACGAGGGCTTGGTCAGCCCTAACGTCGCTGTCTTACTGACTGAATACGCACCAAGGAACTGAAAGTAAAAATGCAAATAATTACATCAAATACCTATATAAAACACAGATTTCCTTTTATGCTTAATGTGAGCCTACTGAGAAGTTTTGCTTTAAGTGTATTTCTATTGCTTTAGATATTCATACTCTTACCTCATCACCAATAAAGCCACCTATTGAGGAGACTTGAATGATAGAGCCTCCCCTGGAAAGAAATAAGAATATTATTGAAATAACTTGAAATAAAGGATTGCAAACAATGGAAACCCAGTGTATCGCAGCAGTGATCATGGTTGGGCGAGAATGGCTAGAATATCACAGAATATAGAGAAATCTGGAAAAATCTAAAAACTCCATTAGTATGCAACCAAATGATCTTCTGGATGCTGGACTTTTGCTGCTTCCAAAGCTATATGGTAAAATCCATTTTGCAAGCCTGGTAGGTTATTTGATTACTATTGTATGCATTTGAGACTAATGTGACTACATTGAGGTTCCTGGAGTAACAGAAAATGGACAACGCATTTACTTTCAAATTTGTAGATAGGCCTACATGTACCATGTTGCTTATCTTACCCTCGTTTTTCTATTTGTTCAGCTGCATCCTTTATCAGGAAAAAGTTGGCCTTTAGATTAGTGTCAAATATCTTGTCCCATACTGACTCTGTGGTCTGCAAAAAATAAAATTTGATAAGCTTTAAAATATGAAATACTGGGAGGGTGAGGGGGAATGAAAAAATGTGTAACTGAGATGAAAAGATGGAATTGATTGAAATGGAGATTTAAAAGAGTGGAATTGAGTAAAAATAGTGGAAATGAGTAAAAATGGTGGAAATGAGATGAGAGGCTGGAGTGTAGAAGTAGATCAGATCAGGTCCACATTGTTGGTCATAATTGGTCAGTTTTACTATAAATATAAAGTCACTGGTAATGAGCCATGATTGTTCCTCACTATAAATGAATGCATTTAAGAACGCTGGAAAAAATGCAACACACATTGGTAAATATTCATATTTTCCAAGGTATTAGACACCCAAATAACCAAACCAGTAGTTCTTGTATATAAGGACCTATATATTGAATTTGTTGCATCAAACATTTTTAGAATACTTTTAAGGGGAGTCCTATGTATACTTACTTCTAGAATTGGTCCCATAGTTGGGTTGACAGCAGCATTAGATACAAATATATCAAGTCCTCCTTGCTCCTTCACAGTCTGCAAGATAACATTGGCACATATTATTCATTGGAATCCTTTCAAAGGAAGAATCAGGGACAAAACAGGGGATACAAGAATGCAGGATGCGGGGAACCATATTCCTGTGAAGCCCTGAATATTTTCGGGTCCGCGCATTATACCGAAACCCATTATACCGACGCGCATTATACCGAAACCCATTATACCGACGCGCATTGTACCGACGCGCATTGTACCGAAAGGCGTTATACCGAATGCCATAACCACTGTTCCACAACTAGTTACTTTGACGGAACGTCAATGTAACAAAATGGATGAACTTCCTGGTTACGACTTTTTGCTTTCTCGATTTAAACCTACTAATAAGTCAAGTTGCAGATTATAATTTGGCCCAAAGCTAGAAAATATAGCCTAGTTTTAATTAATAAGTTTCTTCGATTTGGAATTTGTTTTGTAAATCAGGCTGTTATTCATATACTAAGCCCCTCGCTTTTGTTACATTGACGAAAGCCTGTTATATTACCAAATTGAATGTATGTTACTTTGTCAATGGGGATTTTGCCCGACCATTATTAGAAAACTTGAAAATCTCTAGAATTTGAATAAAGATAAATAACAGTGCAAAAACTAAGTTGTTTTGATAGAAAATTACACACAGAATTCAAATAGAAGAAAATGTTAGTCTTTAGTGGTTAAAAATGCAGATCTCCTAAAATCTCATTAAAATGAGACCTTAACGAGATTTTAAAGCTATATGGAAAAGCCACTATTAGATAGATGCCTTCACTAGGCTATTCTCTGTACTTGTGTCCGTGCCTCATTTTGAGTAGCGAGTATAAATTCTTTTCGGAAACATGGTTATGTTTTCCCTGTAATATGAATTGGAGATATCTGACAAAATATGGATAGCCTAAAATATAAATTTTGTGTTTTTGAACATGCGGAAATATCTTGAACACTTTGAAACTGAAGTACAGTTCCTTAATAGGTCTTTCAGTTTTCTTGTTTTTTTTCTACACAACAACTTGTGTTTCATAGCCACGCGTAATTATTAATAAGCGTAATCAGATTATTTCAAGCGTCGAAATAGCTTATTTTTCCTCGACGTATCTACACAAACCTATTCACTTACCGTTATATTGAGCGATCTAGATGCGTCAATTATAATTGTTTTCACTCATCGGCTTTAGTGGCCCGCGATACCTTTTATTTCGTTCATTTAAGACGCAATTGATATATTGGCAACTAATCAAATGTTCTAAATGATTCTTCTTCATTTTGGAATGTTTCTCCTACCCGATATTCAAAGATGTGTTTTTAATATTATACTTTACATTGATCACGATTCTTGTACTTTACGACTCCCGTTCACAAGAGTTGTTGATTGCATTGCCTTGATCGTTGGTCGAACTTCGATTCCAACTAAATCAGATTAATCAATTAAGAAATGTAATATCATGTTTATCCAAGCAAATAATTGTAACAACTACATTATTCTTTAGCAGTTTTGACACCTAAGCCTAGTGGCGTAGACTGAGGCTACTTTGCGGTTGAACGTCGTGGGATACGGAGGTCCCGCGTTCGAACCCCAGGTACGGAGTTGTTGATCATTGTCACTACGGACACCCGGTCCGAAGGTCCAACCGTTTACCGGCCCTTGGCATGGGTTGGTTCTCTGGCCGCTCTTGCCGGAGACAGATTGTGAGACTGTGGTTGGTTCCTCCACTAACGTGCTTTAGTAAACTCCGGGAGTCATATAGTATGGTAGCGGGCCCCCACCAAGGGCAGTAGTGGAACGACGCGAATCGGTCCAAGTATGGTTGCCTTGCAACTGAAAAGACTCGAGGAAATCATGCCATTCGCAGTGACCCAGAAAAGACTTTTGCTTCTTAATTTGACGTTTTAATTTATTTGTTTACATACTTTATTCATATTACTTTCCAGGCAGTTATGATTTTTATTGGTCAAATGAATGAACGAGACATATAGATACTATTAAATACATCTAAATATTATCAAAACCATAATTCGATTTGTCGGACATATATAAAATAACACTTGAAAACACAACACACATAGCTGCAATATCCGTAGCATTTGGCACAATCGGTTCCCACGTTCTACCATTTTGTGCGGTCATCATAAGATAAGGAGGTACGGTTGATTGGAACATGGACTTTCAACAGAGTCAAGAAATTGGCATGGATACTTTGAGAAATAAGGTAGCAACAAAAGGAAACACCGGAAATAATCCAGAAATGTCCACACCATTGTTTTCGTTAGTAATGGCAAGGCCACGGAGGAAAAATAGCAGTCGTGGATAGCTTAATTTTTGTACCAATTAGAGCCATGACTTAAATTCAACCAAGAACGGTGGAGCAAAGTCACTATGGGTCCCAATTGAGAATCAATTCAAATCAAAACCAAATTGAGAATCAGATGACCTGCTAAGTCTAGTATTTATTTGCCCCTAAATAGATATTAAAGGGGCGCTGAATATTTTCGTTTGTGGAATGAAAACTGATGATACAGATTATATCAGTAGCCAAAAACTATATAAGCAATTTAAACATGGAAATGATGCCAATTTAGAAGTACTATATGAAAAGAAATGTTTGTGAAATGGTTGGAAAATGAAATAATTTCAGAATTAATGGGATCATTGGGGCACACATTGATAAAAATCACACTTGGATTTGGAAAGATTTAAAGTAAAACAAATGAATCCGTTTCTTACTATCTCCATGACAACATATCTTGCTCTCTCTCCATGACAACAACTTTTGGCCCCATTCAGCACAAGATCGAAAATACAGTAATTGTCAAGTTCAATAAGAAATGTGAAACTTTATATTTAATAGCACAATTATTTATTTCTACCAATGAAACAATACAGTATAAATAAATGTTTACTTCATTGAAGAATTTACCACGGTTAAATATATTTTATGAAGTACAGTACCATAATCAAACATAAATAACGGAATTATGACTTTATCCTCTATGAAATACAGAAATTGATGGTTAACTGGAATTAAGTTTGTTGGGACGACCCCTCAATCCGAAACGCTTAGTATCAGTTAAAAAAATTCTGGCCGCAACTGAGATGTAGAGATGTTCAAAGATTTTAAATTAAGCTTTATCTGAAAATATGTTTTTGCGCGATAAACTTTTTATTAAATATGAATATACACAACAGATTAACATCCAGTCTCATATTAAAAAGTTTAAAATTAAAACAGTGTGGAAGTAAATAAAATTGAATTTGAATTTTCAAGACTTGTCTGTTCAATGAAAAAATCATGTATAATTTGAACGTAATATATTAACTATCTATTTTATATGCTGATACATTAGAATTTCTCTTGGCTTTTCAACATAGATTTGACTTTTCAGGCTCCATTTTTATTATTCTATGCCTATATAATGTTACTGTGCACTGTCATACATGTACATAATCATGTGTCTACATGACGTTTTGAAAGAGTATAGAGCTAGATTAAAAGCACCGTTCTTGCGAGTTTCAAATGAAAATATTGAAACACGCGAGTATGAGGACTTCAACTTTTTATGTCTACACTAACAAAAACGTGAAATTCCCGCTGTAAAGATATAGTCCCACGCGGAAGTGCACGTCATAAAACTGATGGGTTAAGGCAATATGCCGTCCCACTGGCACGGATTTCGGTACAACGCGCATCGGTAGGCCTTTTCGGCACAATGCGCGTCGGTATAATGGGTTTCGGTATAATACGCGTCGGTATAATGAGGTGATCCCTCCATGCGCAACAAGTACTGTATGTATAAGCAAAATCCCAAAAGGGGAGAAACCAAGAAGTATTCAGAAATGTGATAAGAAGGAACCTTTGTATGGGAATTCCAAAATTCCAAACAATGGCAAGTTTTAGATAGTATGTTACAATGTATAACCACGAGAAGTTTTCTTGTTTTACAGTATTTGGTATTTTCAAATGAACTATGAAGACAAAAAAATGGTACAATAAATAAGTAACACTTACACTGGTGATCCGCTCGATTACGCTGGTTACCGAAACGGTTCGTTTTCGTAAAAAATGTCGGAACGTCGAAGGTACGATTTTTCTTTTTTCCTTATTTCACGCGTTTTTTCTCACAAACGTGTATCAGCATCATATGTTTTAGAAAATGTACATGCTTGCGAAAAAATAGCTCAATAGACAACAGAATCGTCGATTTAATTCTTCACCTAAGTTACATAAACGGTTTGGGTTAAAAGTGCAGATCTTAACTGTTTTTCGAAAAACCGTTTATGTAACTTAAGTGAGGAATTAAATCGATGATTCTGTTGTCTTCTGAACTATTTGTTCGCAAATATGTACATTTTCTTAAACAAATGATACTGATACACGTTTGTGTTTAAAATGCCGTGGGAATTCTGCCTACAACGTGTGAAATAAAGTAAAAGGAAAAATCGTACCTTCGATGTTCCGACATTTTGTTACCAAAACGAACCGTGCCAGCGTAATCGAGTGGATCACCAGTGACTTAAATCCAGTCTCAATTTATTTTAAGCATAAATATGTATATCATAATAAAAACTATGCATTGATTTGGTATGGTTGAGCCATCCCCCACCCCCTCCTCCATATCTTGTTCACCTGTTCTATGAGCTTTTTCCTGTCTTCAGCTTTACCAACATGGCATACAATTCCACTGACATTCAGCCCTTCAGCTTTCAATTCCTGGACAGCTGCATCAACTTTCTGCTTCTTACGACTACTGATCACTACATGTGCGCCATCTTGTGCTAGGCGTTTAGCTATAGCAAAGCCAATGCTGAAATGAAAATAATTTTGGAAATAAATCTTGAGTCACTAGCCCAATTTAGATTAATTATTTGTTTAGCATGATTCTTATTGAAAAGACTCTAAAATTGCAAAATGAGTCAAGCCTCCAATGTGCTCAATTTATAGACTGTGTTTAACTTATCTGCTTAGTCACTGTTAAGAGATATGGTTAAAACCCCATGATCGCCAAAATGGGAAATAAAAAGTTTGACAGTATTTTGGATGACCAAATTGGTACCTAAACAGACAACTAGTACTTCATAAGAGCTTTAGACAGAATTCTCTGATTCAAGGAGTTACATAACAGTGTCATCCATCGTATTTAGTTAAATCACCCTTGAACCAATCTCTACATATACATGTACAGTCCACCTATGTCATACAGAATATATTACTTCAAAAAAGTACCTCCAACACTTCCAACCTCAACTTACCCCGCTGTTGATGCAGTTACTATGGCAACCTTTCCTTTAAGGCCTGTTTTAGTTGCCATTTTGCCTCTTGTTATAAAATAAGTATCTTTTTACTATATTAGCAATACTATACAGAGTGGGCCGAAATTCAAGTATTATACAATTATGTGTATGGTGGTGTAGGTGTATAGTGGCGCAAAATGTACTTTGTACCAAAACTGTTATTATTAGATAAAATACCAAGTTACATGCAAGTTGTAAACGATAAATCTTGAATATATTTGAACTATATATATTTATTACATGTTATATCTATCAAAGTGTTTTCAATTGTATTGCATACATTTTATCACACTCTGTACTTTAAAGGGCTTTTAAACAAAAACAAATACAACTTTGATCTAAATGTAAAGTCAGAAAGTAGGCTTCTGTCGAAGACTAGTAATATTAAAGTTCATAAAGTTAAATATTGACATATTTCAAGTGTAATTCATTCAGATCTATTTGCACAGTAAAACTTGTAAAAGTGAGCATCTCCTTTTCATATTTTAATGATAAGACCATTGTAATACAAAAATTCATAAAAATGCATACTTGGACAAAATACACTACTAATATAGTACTAAATATACACACGGGTTCAAAAACGTGAAAATGTGAAAAGTTGTCATAACTTTTTAAAACTCCCATTATCGAAATCGATTTGACATGCAGACGACGAATATTTTAGCCCTATATGAGTTGCGCATGCTTATGCTGTTCGTTGTATCTGGAAATGAAATATTTCAACGGTTTAAAAATTCGATGCAAGTCAAAGTGTTAATACGGAATGGATCGAATCATGAATCGTACCATTCCGTATTAAAACGTGGACTAGCATTGAGTTTTTTAAAATGTTGAAATCGTATATTTGGAGAAAAAACGAACCAATTTGACATGCTCGGTTCGTAAGGGACTAAAGTATCCGTTGCTGGCAAGTGAAATTGGTTTCAATAGTTTACGTCAAATAATTATGACAACTTTTGCCATTTTTTCACGTAAACAAAGGAGGTTGGGACCCTAAGGCTTTTTCATTCTTCTATCAACAGAGACAGGTGTCTATAAAACAACTAATACGGAATGATATAAACACTACCGTGTACATAAAATGCGAAATCATCACTAACTGTTGGTATTAATTTAGTACTAGGTTACTTATGTAAGCACTGGATAAGAACTAATTGGTACTAAATTCTGTAAGTACTAAATAATGACACTAATTGAGTGAGTATAAATGAGTAAATTAAACACGATTTTTAACAAATGGAAACTGTGCATAATAAGTTAAGTTAATTTGAGCGTAACCATTTTGATACTGCGTGTGAACTTTCTCAAAATACCATTCCTCTAGACAGTCCATGACAAATGGTTGAAAACTCAGCTCTAGTTTGTTGAGGAAGAATTGATGGGCATTCACTATATCATGGAGATTTCTCAGCCCCGGGATGCAAATATTGCGGGCATATTTCCCGTGACATTTCATGCCTGGATACCATTCACTTGTTATCCAATGTTTGTAACGCAATAAGTATGTTTCTCTGTTTGTTTCAGGAACTCCTTGAAAACAAGAAAATTCATATCAATCTTTGAACATTGCTGTGGTGATTTTATTGTTTCTAAAAGTAGTTCATATTTTTTCAAATGTTATCTTCCTGTATGCATATTCTTAGTATAATACAAACAAAAGGTTTTGGATAGATGCCATATACAGGGTGGTCAAAAAAAATGGAAACCCTGCATTTTCCTAATATCTTTATCATTTTAAGAAATTACTCCCTGATATTTCACACATTTGTACATCATTCAATTTCCTACCATCCTACTTAATTTCATGACCATCAGACTGATAGTCACAATTTTACAGCACTTTGAATAACATGCTTCAATTTTGGCCATCATCGCGCTGTAGGCAAACCTGCACAGTTGTCAATGGGCCGAATGCATTCCTCAGCAGGTATGGCCTGAATGATACGGATGATCTCACTTTTTAGGTTTGTGATTGTCCTGAGGTCATTCTCATACACTTTTTCCTTGCCATAACCCTACAGGTAGGGACATTTTGGACAGGGAGTGTAGGTGGCCCGACAGCACAATAGTGGCCACTAGGGCTGTTCTGTAAAGTGCTGTAACATTGTTAATATCAATCCGATGGTCATGAAATGAAGTAGGCTGGTAGGAAATTGAATGATGTACAAATGTACAAAATATCAGGATGTTATTTTTTAAAATGACAAATATATGAGGAAAATGGTGTAAGGGTTTTCTTTTTTTTTGACCACCCTGTACTAAGTAAGATAATTTTAATTTGATAATTTTTAAAATGAAATAAAAGTTGAAATTTTCTATTGTAACTTACAATTAGTACAAGAATTAAACTATATCAATCTGTAGTGCGGCTTAGCTCATATTTGACCTTGACTTTTGACCTTGACCTTCCTACCTGTAACTGATCCTGGAACTCCAAGTTGTGGATTATGGTTGAGAGTTGGGAAGAATGTCTCATCAGGATGCCCTGTATCCTTTAGCCACTCTATCAGTGCATGGGACACTTCATTATGTAATACATAGTCCACAAATGCTCTAGATGCTGCAATGTGGACCTCTCCCTTATAAAGTGTCGGATTGTATGGAATTGAGGCTGCCTTCCATTTCCATCTTTCGTGATCACCTTTTGACCTAAAATATGAGATCACACAGGGCAAAATTTAAAGACATCAATCTGTAAGACAAAGTTCATTAAGTCCTAGATCACTTTGTAGGTGTTTTACAATGTAGATCTCTTAAAGGGGCAACAAGGACTATAGAGAAAAAATTCGAAAATTTTTATTTTTATGAGGTATCAGGTCAATATTTGGCTTGAAAGCTTCTTTGACATACCTATTTTCTTAAAACGTATGGATAAATTATCAATTTCAACATTAAGAAGTGTAAATTCAGTTCAAAGCTTCTATAAAGGGAGTCCCACTTGTAGATTTTATAGATTCACCATGTTTCAAGAGGAATATCAGCTGCAATAATATTCATCCAGGGGGTTTCTTTGAAGATAATAAAAATAGATGTTAGTCTTGATGAAATATCCAAACTTAAATATATTTTGACACTGCTGGTCGATGATCGTTGAATGCCCCCCCCCCCCCTGCACTAATTGTTGCACCTTTAATATAGGGTCCGATTGTATGGAATTTTACTATTTTTCCATTTTCATCCTTCGTGATTCTACCCTCTGAACGCGGTAGGATGGCTATGGTTTAAATACCGAGATCTTTATATTTCATATCTCTAGATACTAGACAGAGCTACATGGATCTCTCACAGACAATTTGCAAAGGATTTGGTTGACCGTGACCAATTTTGGACCCGTAAATGAATGAACAAAGGGCAACAGTAAAAATCTCTTTGAAATGGTCTACAGATCATGTCCTAGACGTTTTGGTAAAAAATATTTAGTCGCTTACCAAATTGATGATCCTCTGACATTATTTGCACCATTAAACCCCCGTAATATCTCCACTAGTTCCAAATTAGATTTCAATGGAAATTCTTGACCAGTTAGATTTATATAATATTTCCATTTCTTGTATTTCCACAAGTCTTGCATACATATCAGATTTGGTTCAAGCACACTGAAATCCCCCCACTGTACATCTACCCTCCTTGACGATATAAAAACGTTTACTAAACAGTCGGCAATTGATTTAACAGCTTCAAATATTTCTGGATCAGTTTTCGCATCAACGTGGATGCAATAGTAATTCCATGGTCGGTATATAGCGTGGAGAAGTCGTTCAAACAGCTCCACATCTTTGTATAGTAGAACATCAAAAGCCAATGGAAAATAGATCATAACATACTATTTGACAAACTTCAATATTATGGTATACGTGGTGTTGCTCTTGACTGGATAAAAAGTTATTTTAAAAATAGATTTCAGCAAACTTTATATAAGGAAACAATCTCTAATCGTGAGTTGATCACTTGCGGTATTCCTCAAGGCTCAATTTTGGGACCCCTGTTTTTTATATTATATATTAATGATATTTATTTTTCTTCTCCGACACTATTTTTCGTCTTATTTGCAGATGATACTAATTTATTGATCAAAGGCAAAAATCTACATGACCTGACAGAAACTTTAAACACTGAACTCAAACATATTGAGGAATGGCTGGTCACAAACAAATTATCACTCAATGCTAATAAAACAAAATATATCATTTTTTCCTCAAGACAAAAAAGATTTAATGCAAATAATATAAAAATCTATCTAAATGACAAACAACTTGAACAAGTTGATCATATTAACTTTCTTGGAATAACAATAGATAACCATTTGAACTGGAAACGGCATATTGCTTCTGTTAATGCAAAAATTTCTAGGACAATTGGTATTTTATATAGAGTTAAACAACTGTTGAATATCAGCGGTTTTATGAGTATCCATTATTCACTTATATATTTTCATCTTATATATGGCAATGTTATTTGGGGTGAAACATGTAGTTCATTAAATTCCCTATATCTTGTGCAAAAGAAATTCACCCGCATTGCAACAAACAGCGATTATAGGGCTCATTCCCTACCATTATTCAAACAGTTAAACCTTTTGAATATTTTTGACATACACAAACAACAGAAATGTTTATTCATGTATAAATGGATAAATAAGGATTCTTATGATAAACCTAAAGTAAGGACAAACTATGGCATTTCAATGTTAACTTTCACGGCACCAACAATTTGGAATCAATTACCAAACAAGATTAAATCTTCTCGAAGTGTTCACATCATGAAAAGAGAACTGAAAAAGTACTTTGTCAATAATTGATTATCATTCGTATACTTTATATTTTGGGCTCTATGACACACAATTCATTTACCATCCATTACAAGCATTTGCACACAAACAGATCCCCCTCTGTTTCTATGTAGGCAACTTGCCACCCTGTCGGGAATATACACAATTTGTGTCACCCGCTCATTGTATGTATTTCAAAACTTAGCTTACTGAATAAATAAATAATAAATAATAATAATAATAAAT